CTACACACTCTGTCCAATAACTACGGCTGACATTTGCTAAGCTCTCACTCCGTTCGGTGCGTATAGAACGGTACAGCATTGCCTCACTTAATCCCCTAAAGATCCTGTGAAGTGGGTCTAATTACTTTCTTGCTAAACAGATGAGGAAACTGAGACTTTGAGGCGTTCATTTGCCCACACCCACACATCTAGTCTAGTCCTGTTGCCAGAATTCAATCCAAGCTTTCACATTCCCAAACTTGTGGGTTCTCCTAACCAACATCCTATAATTTGAAATCCATTATTTCCGACAGCCCTTCCCATCCATCTGTCATGTGCCAGAAAACAAAATGTGGCCAAGGGGGAGGGGGGAAGGGTTGAACATCTAAAGGGGCAAAAAACCTAAAACTCACAACCTGCTGTTTATATAGCACAAACTGCCCGCCATTTCTGAGCAGAATTAAGCACGTCGTCTCTTACCATAAAAAATAGTCAAGGAGACGAGAACTCATGGTAGAGAACAGCCAATGAATTCTAAATTCCCAACGAAACGCTGAGCCAGGAGACCAATTGATATCACGATTAACACTGATAGGTGTTACTGAACAGTTTGAAAGAAAATCCCAAGGCCAGGAAGTGACCAAAGGTTAAAGTAAAAAAAAAAAAAAAAAAAAAAAAAAAAAAAAAAAAAAAAGTATCTCCTTACATACTTGTAGACCACAACTCTATCCCCTTACAAACCTGGAAGATTTTTTTTTTAAGCTGAGGGGAAACAAGCTCTTCCTTTTGAAAGAAACGAAGAGAACAGGGAACTTCCTCTCCATTGTTAATCTATCAACTTTGGTTTCATATTGCATCACCATTAACATTATAATTTCTGCTTTCTATCACTTTAAGGTATGTTCCCAATAACCATCAGAGTCAATAAAAGATCTCTGAGACCTTGGCCTACAAACGTTCATTATTAGTGCCCTTCTTTTTTTAAAGCAGAGTAGTAGGTTAATAATATCAGATTGCTCCTTTAAAAAAATCATAGGCCAAAAATGACATAAAACATTTCAAAATGAAAAGTCAGTATTGGCAAGTCATGGAAGGAAATGCTTTGGAGTAAGGATAATGTTTAAAACATTGGACTATCTGGATTAAAAAGCATTTACCATTTACAAAACACAACAGGTAGCTTTGAAAGTAATGAATCCCTACCAGCAACAAACAGATTATTAAGGCACTTTGCTTGTGGTGCTAGCATATTAACACACTTGGAGGTTTTTAAGTAAACAGTGGCACCTAATAGCTGAGTGTTCGCTGTGCATGTGAAATATATTAGATGCCAAAAATAGTCCTTAAGTCACAATTGCATGTAACAGAAATGCGGAAAACTAAGTCTTTTCTTCTGTCATTTATGTTTAACGAACAACACCGAAGCTTAAAATCAAACTATGGCACATGAAACACACATTGTGGTGGGTAAGAACACTGAATGCTTTCTGTGTCGATATCGGTTCTTACATGTTACAAAAATCAAATAAGGCCTGTCTTTTTCCCATAGAAGATTCAGAACACAGTTTCTTACTTGTGCCGTTTTAAATTTCAGTGTTAAGAGGCAAATGCCTGTTTAGAAGGTTGTTCATTTTCGAACCCTACATTTTAGCTGTGTGAATGTGTGTGTTTAAACAAAAGTCTGTTTCAATGTTATTCTAGGAGTAGATACTCAGCTGAGGAAACTAAGAAAACAGATCTGTAAGGACATGCAGTGGAATGTGCGTGGTTTGGCTTGGAAGCTCACAATCAGGAACAAATTGTAGCACATAATGGCTGGAAAAGTTAATTAAGTCAACCTAACACAGCACCAGTAACAAAACTTCTTGTTTGCTTGTTTTATTTTTATTTTAACCCTTGAAATTGTGGATGGGAGGAAAAAAAAGGCATGGAATACATGCATTTTGGTTCTTGTTGCTAAACTCACCTTTAACTGCTCATTGACAAATCCCTGAATGTCAGACCTTTGCAAAGAAAGCCCCTCGACACGGTAGCAATCACTACTACCTCGAGGGGATCCAAATGATTTTCATTTTCTTTTTGTGAGATGTTTGTAAAGAGAAAAGAGAAAAAAGGAAACAGAAGAGGCAAAAGGAAAAATGACCATGGCAATGACAGCTACCTGCCAGCACCCCCACACGCTCTACAACCCACACCAAACTCAGACCAAGGCTCCCAGACTAGCTATACGAACACAGCGACGTGCGGAGGAAAAGCATGAGACCAGGTAAGAGTTTGCAGAACAGAGAAGAGGCTGGGTCATTCCAGCCCCTGGCACACGATCCTAGGGCTGTAAAGAGGCTCCAAGCTCGTTAGGTAAAACCTGCAGAGAACTCTGGGGGAAAGATCTTACAATTATTAGCACCGCTTACATAAAGCAATCAGGAAGAAAAAAGTCTGTTCCTGTCTTTAAATCTGTTTGCAGGGTTTCCTGGAATCTTCCAGAATTGCAATCCATGCATAAAAACACCACTTCCATTTTTCTTTTACTTGGTTGGGTCTTTATATTCTCCCAAAATAAAAAGTTAATAAATCCCTTAAAAGAAACAGGAACACTGGAAAAATAGTCAGAGCTCCAGGATTACCAGGACAGCTCTCCTTCAGGCAGGCATGTGCCTTGCAAACCCAACTAATGAGCATTTGCCCCCAACAGGACAGGTTTTACACCCATTTAGGAGGCCATGTGTACTTCAAGGGCACAGGCCGATCAGGGCGGGAAGCCAGGGGATTTGGGCTCAGGATCCGTGATTACTGCAGACGACAGGACCAACTTCGTGAATCCTGACTGCTCCTTCTCTAATGTTCTTGGGTAGCTTCTTGGCTGCCACTTAGCTCTGCTCCCAGTCACCCTAAATGGTTAAATGAGAGGAACTCAGGGTCCGAGTGGCCCAAGACAGACACAGCAGCACCAAAACCCTCCCGAGCATGCGTGGGAGAGGCAAAGGCAGTGGCACCTTTGCAAGGACAGACAGACCACTAGTGGGATCCCCCTGTAATCCACAAATGACAGTGGCTCACAGAGGGTCCACACAGCACAGCTCATCTATCAGTTCACACGTGCTCTCATCCGTTCTCACACACCCACATGCACACTCCTCTACACTCATGCTCACGCACACCCACACGCTTCGACACACCCTCACGCGCACTCACGCACACACAAGCCTAAAGATAACCAAAAAGTGGATGTTTTGTGAACCATAATACCCAGAAAGTGCTTATTCCTACATAATTACCATTCTGTTGAAATTACCAAACCATCTACCCGGCATAGACTAATTCTATTTTTGAAATAATAAACTTGTCTAATTTTTCCGAATTCCAGAAAAAAAAAAGGTGTTTTTTAGGAGAAAGTACGTCTTCTATAACCTCACTGGAAGAATAACACAAATATTCAGCTCAATTAAAATAAGCTCCCCGTCCTGGGGCTCCTGGGTGGCTCAGTCAGTTGAGTGTCAGGCTCTCAATTTCAGCTCAGGTCATGACCTCATGGCTCCTGAGATAGAGCCCTAAGCCAGGCTCCGTGCTGACAGCATGAAGCCTGCTTGGGATTCTCTCCCTCCCTCGCTCTCTGCCTCTCCCCCACTCACGCTCTCTTTCTCAAAATAAATAAATAAACTTTAAAAAATTAAATACCACAAATAAAGGGAGAAATACGGATAAATTTCCACATGTACATAAAGTAAATTCATTATTTTAGACATAAATATATCTCCCTAAGGATCAATTCAAAACTGGACCCATTCGCAGCAGGTTTAGTGCCAGCCCCTCCAGTGGCCCAGACAAGCCAGCAGTGCACACTGGTGACATCCGGGAAGGAGAACGCAGGAGCAGCACGCACTCGCCATGAGCAGGGATGGGCACAGGGACCGGGGACCAGGCTCCTCAGTGTCAGCTCAGGCAGTGCCAGTCAGGAAAGGCAGGTGCAGCTTTGTTTCCTGGATGTCTGCCTTCAGAGTCAAAGGATCTGAGCTGCAAGTTACCTTCCAAAGTAGATTCGGACTCCCCAATTGTATATAAAAAAATTTAAATCAAGCCAGTAAACTCTTTCTCGGAATAAATAAAATAAAAGCCCATTGGGAAGGAGGTAGCACGTTGGCTCACGGAAATCAGTGTGTCCAGATTTGCAGTGCCCAAAAAACCGGGAGAAAAGTCTGGCTCATTCTTCCTAAGAGCACATGGAAAAGTGGAGAACAATGAGAGAGGGGGACCAGGGAGGCTATGAAATCTGCAAAAAGCAAAGGTACCAACTGGCCTACGAGAGTAGAAAAGAGAGGCAAAGGAAGCGGTCACCATGAACCTGTTCAGCCTGCTTTTTTCCAGAGGGGGCTCTAGAATTTGTTTGCAATGCTCCATGCTTGAACTGAAATGCCTCTCAACACTGCTTAAAATATTAAAAAATACAACATACGGGAACAACAGCTATGTGTTATCTGCGAACACAATTAAGTCCATTTTTATAAGCAAAACCTGCATCTCAGATAGCAGTGTTACCTCGAGGTCCAACCATTAACAGCTTTTAAAATTCTTTCGAATGAACTCCAGAGTGGGGGGGGGGGGGCGCGGGAGGTGCAGATCCCTAAATCTTGACAAGGCAACTTTTGAGTCTTTTGTAATAACTAATAACTAATTATTCCGACTAGTGGAGACTTTTCCGTGTGAAATGCAAAGTATTTTGAACTCCTGCCAGGCTAATCAAGATGATTTCCAAAATGCCACAACAGGAACTTCCTATAATAAATAACCTATCACATTTACATCTCAAATTAGAAAATTTGGAAGAAAACATGTAGCTGCGGTGCCAAAATAGAGACTGCTAAAGCCTGCCCGTCCCACGCCCCCCAGCCTCCACCCCCATTTGCTTTCTTTAGCCTCTCAAGGAATAGACCCCGGTCCAGGTGCAAATGCTCAATGCACCAGGAATGCAGAGAACACAAAAATGACTGTAGGCTTGGCTGCCGGTGATCCCCGTGGCCGCTCACCATTGGAAGTGGTGCTGGAGGCCACGGCTTTCTCGCTGACATCTGTTCGCGTGGAGCATTTCACTATGGAATTCTCCACTTTCTTCTTCTCAGGGGTGGTGGAACTGCGGGACTGGGCCTCCATGATGCTTTCTCATTACTTCAGCTCTCTGCTACCAGGAACGCCTAAAACGAAACAGTGCCATCAGCTTCCAGGAAGAGTGGGGGGAGGGGGGCAGGAAAAAAAATCTCACTGAGAAGCCCGCTTCACCTGCCGAGCTTTAGCAGGGTCCAAAATCTGGAAGACCCTGGCCCACAAGTTTTCTTGCAAAAATACCTCCAAGTCGGAATAACGAGCCAGTCAAATTCTGTCTACACACGCCAAAGGAGATGGCAGGGGAAATACCCACAATGTGAGACTTTCCCCAAATTCCTACAGGGGCATCTGTTATCAAGTGATGTCAAGATACCGATTTTCAACTGTGTTTAGAGTGTGAAACCCAAGGGTAAGCCACATCTACAAATGCCACTTCGTGTGGTCAGATTTGTAGGCAGGGGCACTGTGACAGCCTTCCAAAAAAGGGGAAGGTTTGTAAGTATCAGTTAGATGTTTTAAAGAGCATGACCATTTCTCAAAATCCAAGCCCTACTCAGAGTTTGGAAGCAGAGGGTAATCTGAGCCAGGAAGCCAGTGATGTTTGCTCCCCTCTCTAAGATGATCTGAATTGCAATACGCCCTTGGATTGAATTAATCCTAATTCAATCAGGTAAACCAGACTCTTTAAGCTTTCTTAAAACATGAGAACGTTTCAATCCATTTGTGCTACATTTTTAAAACCAACAAAGGCGTCAGAACATGCTCTGGATCCCACAGGAAAAGTCAAAAGATTGCGGACAGCAAAGCCTGGGACTGCTTAAGAAATACTGAAACCCCCGCTAAAGGCAAGCACAGTGGGTCCTCTTTCACTGGCTTCATTCGTGTGGTAATTGTCCTAACTCATCATTCATCAATTTTCACTCTCTTAGGTTATTGTTCTTGTTTTGTTTTCTTTTTGTTTTTTGTTTTGTTTTGTTTTGTTTTTTTGCAGTCGTGAGCTGCACCTACAAAGAAGACACGAGAAAATGAAAGGTACCCTCTCCCACATGTTTTCTTCAAGCCATCTAGATTGCGAACACTCATGGTGTCCCCTTCTTCAGGCAAGTCTGCTGATTTTCCACATTCAGCTGACATCACCGTGTTCCATCAAAACAACGATCAGCAAAATAAAATAAGCAATTGCTTAGCCCACTGAAAGAGTTAAAATACCAGATGAAATCTTTTTAGTCATCCTCGACTCTGATTTGCGAGGGAAATGTAAATTCTTTCTTTATTGTACCAGAGAGTCCCCTAGATCTGGAATTCAAGTAACTAGAAAAGCTTCTGATCCCGAGGCTGCCTCCCACTGGAGCACCAGCTCTTCTGCTAACTTCTACTGTCATTCACTGCAAAACACACAAGTTTTTTAAGAACAGCTGTTCTAGAATAAGAAAGAAAAAAGGCAGCCTGGAGTTAAATTTACATATCAACTGTGAGATCCCCTGCAAATTCGGTAACATGCCTCAAAGAGCACTCGGTAGCAAAGTACAACAGTAAAGGAGCCTCCGGACTGCCCTGCTGCTGGGCAACACACACCCTCAGGAGCAGCTATCTGAATGGTGCCCCCTGGAGTTTTCTAGTGGTTGGGTTTTCTCATCTGTCACATGACACAATCACACCTTGGGACCTGGGGCTTAACCTTGGGGGAAGGTGGGTATAGTCCTCTTTAAGAGTATGTGAAAGGTTATGGATCTTCAGCCCAGAAGAATACTCTGAAACACACACCAAAAAGGGTACGTTTGATTTCCAAGGGATCACAGGCCCTCCAAGCTCTCCCATGAATCCAGATAGAGAACCCTTGGAGAAGAGACTCTCAACAGTCTCTTTTTGCTCTAACGATCTCAGAAGCCATTCTAATGTTTTGGACTGCTCCCCCTAGATTGATTTAAATATTATCTTTAAAATATGCCATGAGAACACTTCATCCAAGCCCGAGTGCTGATTCCCAGGGTAGTAAAAGAGCCACCTGGACCAGCCTTGCTACAGGGCTTGCAAAACATTTGGATTCCCAGGTCCAGTCCCTGAGGGCTCTAGCAGGTGGCACCTGGAATCTTTATTCTAGCCAGGACTGGTGATCATCAGGCTCACTGAAGCTTGCAGATAACCATTCCACACCTTTGTGTTCACTGTATGGACCCCGTGCAACAGGTACCCATTTTAGTTTTTGCTGATTCGATGACATAAGGAGTGAATGGCACCCCAGAGTACTGAATGTCAACAGCCCGCCATCAATAATGAACTCATCTTCCAGAATCTTTTGCAGAACGACCTCATGGCCGTCTTCTCCTCTAGATCCTAACTAAGCTCTATGAAGACAAGCACCACGGTCATCTTCCTCGTACCTCCATACCCATAAGAATGTTTACGGAGTAAATAAGTGATCCAGAGATGACCCAGTGGCCTGGAGAATTCTGCAATGTCTTGACTCTTAATCACCACTGATTTCGCTACATATGTTGTCTTTTATACCCAGTGTTTCAATTATATAAAAACTAAAAACTTTAACAGGAATATTTAATTAATCAAAACAGTCCGTTTGCAACCATTTTGGGATGAACAGGCATTTACTATAATTGTTTCCCTCAAAACCCACATACGGTTTTATTGGTTGCATTTGGATGGGGTTTGCTAAGTTAAAAATGCACATGGAAACAAGCCAATGGAAGAAGAAAGAGAGAGAGAGAGAGAGAGAGAGAGAGAGAGAGAGAGAGAGAGAAAGAAAGAAAGAAAGAAAGAAAGAAAGAAAGAAAGAAAGAAAGAAAGAAAGAAAGAAAGAAAGAAAGAAAGGAGGAAACACATGAAGAGATGGGATTCCTTCCTGGCTAAGAAGGAAGTCTCTCCCTAAGTAGAGGGAGCTAATTAACATTGGTGAGGTGACAAGTCGCCAAAGTTCCTTGACAAACTTGGGTTTTGTGGAGTTGTTGGTTTTTCCCCCAAGCAAAGGACTTCGTTTTAACAAAGCAATAAACCCTCCAAATACTCATCACCAGAGAGAGAGGCTCACGTGAGAAGAGGTAAAGCCCCAGGCACTGACGGAAAATGCACTAATTAATGGTCTTAGAGAATACTAATTCCTATCCCCTCCCCCTGTTCGAAATGGATTTCTAAAAAATGGGCCTTTGGTCACTCAAGAATCTACCCCTTTCTTCTATTTTGACAACTTATTTTTGGATCTCATTAGTTAGTAACTAATTATTTAAAAGTGTGGTTTATGCTTGGAACAGGACTATAAAAATGGCAACTTGCCAAGGCAGACATCTGCTTCCTGTATATCCCTATAAATTATATCAGCTTATTTTACTGATAAAAACACAACTTTGTCCCTGTCAGTTGCAAAGGAGAAAGTTTTAACATTCTAGGCTCTCACACCTCATAGCAGAGAAGGGTCTGCTTCTGGCTGTGGTGGCAATTTTTTCAGAGACACGTTAAGCCGTTTGGAACTCAGTCCTGATTTGATGTACAAAAGCCCGAGGTACAGAAGTGACTCGTATAAGCCAATCAATCAATCAATCAGTCAATCCTGGTGGAATCTTAAAAGTCACGAAACTGAAGCAGTGGCCCCATGGTACTATTTTTACAACCTGGAATTTCTGAGATGATAAAGTGTAAGTTATTTAAAACATAAGTTGCGAGGAACACTTTTCGGTTCAGCCTCACTTCGAAGATTCTTCTCTGAGGAAAACATGCCACTGGTTTTTAGATGTGAATGAAAGGTGACTCTTCCCCACCCTGACAGTGTTCCCTCCTTGCCACACTCCACCCTGTTGTTCAGGCCCTTTCCACCACTGCAGCACTGCATGCAAGATTTGCTGGCATGCCCCTTGACTGTTTAGGCTTATGGGAAAAAAAAAATCTATTTGTAACTGATGTTGGAGCAGTTTGAGTGGGGGGGGGGGAGGTGGGAATGCAACCCAGGAAAACTCTTGATAGTGTGGACCTGCTCAAGCTTGAGGCTGCATAGGTGAATGGAGGGATAAAAATTCCTTCCTGAGAGCAAACAGTCCTGGCTTTTCCCATTCAACTGTCCTTGAACCTTTTGTCATTTTCCCGGAGGCCTAAACCCAGGGCACTATTAATTCCAGAACCCTATTCTCAACCTAATCCGTTGCCTACTAGAAACCTGGCTGCAGGTGGGTCTTTCCTCTCTGAATTTTAAGTCCGAACTTGTATCAACCGCCTCCAGAAGCAAGCATCCAAAGCTTGCTGGAGCCACTGACCAGCTGTCGGTGGAGTTAGCGCATGGCTCCCGGCCAAAGTTGGCTAGACTGCAACGGACCAAATTCTGACCATTCTTGTGGGGACCTACGTTTGAAACTGCACTTTCACACAGATGGCCTCGAGTGGCCCGCTCTTTAGAGCTGCAATGGAAAACCACCACCACGACCACCACCCAGGAACTTTCATCACTGCAAAGAGGAGTCCCCACCATTCAGTATTATAACAACCATCCAGGCCGTGGGCCCTGGTGATTTCGGGAGAGCTCCCGCGCTCGGCCTGCGCTTCCTCGCCGGCCTCCCTTCGTGCAGTCCCGCCGATGGTGGCGGGCTCCCCCGCCCGTCCCGCTCCCCCGCGCCCCTCCCCGGGCGGTCCTCGCGCCCGTCCCGCTCC